GTAATGGGGCCCATCAGCCGTTAGAAAGAAGCTCTCTTTGCGCTCTACAACCGCCCCGGGAAGGGCGACAAATTTTGGTGTCGTAACGGGCCCCATCAGCCGTTAGATCGATGCTCTCTTCGCGATCTACGAATGGCACGGGAACGGCGACAACTTTTGGTGTCGTAATGGGGCCCATCAGCCGTTAGAAAGAAGCTCTCTTTGCGCTCTACAACCGCCCCGGGAAGGGCGACAAATTTTGGTGTCGTAACGGGCCCCATCAGCCGTTAGATCGATGCTCTCTTCGCGATCTACGAATGGCACGGGAACGGCGACAACTTTTGGTGTCGTAATGGGGCCCATCAGCCGTTAGAAAGAAGCTCTCTTTGCGCTCTACAACCGCCCCGGGAAGGGCGACAAATTTTGGTGTCGTAACGGGCCCCATCAGCCGTTAGATCGATGCTCTCTTCGCGATCTACGAATGGCACGGGAACGGCGACAACTTTTGGTGTCGTAATGGGGCCCATCAGCCGTTAGATCGAAGCTCTCTTCGCGCCCTACCACCTCCACTGGAATGACGCTAACATTTGGTGTTGAAACGAGGCCCATCAGCCGTTAGATAGAACCTCCATTCGCGCTCTACAATGGTCCCGGGATGGGCGACAAATTTGGGTGTCGTAACGGGCACCATCAGCCGTTAGATCGAAGCTCTCTTCGTGATCTACAACTGGCACAGGAACGGCAACAACTTTTTATGTCGTAACGGGTCCCATAATCTGTCAGATTAAAGCTCTCTTCCCCCTCTACAACCGCCACAAATTTAGCGACAACTTTTTGTGTCGTAATGGGGCCGGCCCATCAGAGGTTATATTGAAGCTCTCTTCACGCCCTACCACTGCCACCAGAATGGCGACAACGTTTGGTGTTGAAACGAGGCCCATCACCCGTTAGAAAGAAGCTCTCTTTGCGCTCTAAAACCGCCCCGGGAAGGGCGACAAATTTTGGTGTCGTAACGGGGCCCAACAACCGTTAGATTAAAGAAGCTCTCTTCACGATCTACGAATGGCAGGGGAATGACGACAACTTTTGGTGTCGTAATGGGGCCCATCAGC